ACACACACACATGCATATAGATGCATATATATATATATATATATATATATATATATATATATATATATATATAATCTATAACATTCTCAGGACCTGCTTCACAATTATCCTTGCATGCCACCTATGGTCACATCAAGCAGTGGAGGCCATAATACGATTTAAATCATATTTAGCATGATAACCTTAAAGGACAATGTCGACGAGAAACCTGCTGGATGCAATTATCAAGCTTTCTTAAGATCTGTTTCGCATTTGCTAGAAATCGTCCCATTTACTGACCTTGCATCAGATCAGTCTTAGACTTGTCTGGGATTTCGTCAAAAATTGCGACATTTTGCAATAGTTCTCCAAATTTCGAACACGTGGGCAAGTTCAAGAAGGAACAAGGAATTTCTTGCCATCTTACCGCTTGTGCAATGAAATGCATGTTCAGCCTTCCATTAGCTTCAAATGGCCTCCCCGCAATAATTATGCCTTATAATTAAGTTGTTGAGTAAGATATACTTTAGATGAGCTTTCGTCCAAAAATCTTGCCCACATATTCAAGATCTGCAAATATAAAATGGAACAAGATACAGATACTTTAAATATAGACAATATGAAAGAATGCAAGCTTGTTTTATGTTTCCATTTTTCCATTCCTTGTAAAAGATTCGTGGCCAAAAATGTATTATAAATGCATTTTTATTGGCAATTCTAACGCGTACAATTTATTTGATTCCGTTGAAGGCTTTCACTGCAAACGTCACTGTCACTCCAGCAGATTATCACCGAGTTCTGCAATGTTGCTGGTACAGAGTGCCGTTAAAGGTTTGAAACTGGTTCACACAGACATCCTCGGCGTCTCGGTAAGGTGACCGTCCCTGCAATGGCGAGGAGAGTCTAAAAGCTGCGCATGCACACAAATGTTCATAACCCATCCGTGCCTCTGTCACCGTGCGAATCAGGTGTGGACGGAAAATTCGTTTCGGATGGCACACCGTACACTTCAGCTGCGCCTTAACTAAGTTCCAAGCACAAGCATACAGAATATCATCGATCTGAAACGATGCCATCTATACATAACTGTTAACACTCGTTGCATATTCCATGACAGAGAGCAAAATCTCGAGGAGTTGCAGCTAAATTCATGTTCCAACTCTGCCAAAACATCGCATGTATCTCTGTGACAATGACCCTCAAGTGACATGTAATTTCAAGCTGCTTTTGCCAGCTCTGCTTGTCATGTTGCTTCTGTCGATACCTATAGCATCCTTCTCAATCCTTCCCTGCCCGCCCCCATATGAAGGAAAACTCCTTCCACTCTGCATTGTAACAACGGCTCTCGCAACCACGTTTACCTCCAACGGCTTTTGTCTTCCTTTTATGAATATGCCAGGAGGAGCAAATCTTCCTGGCTTATGAGCAGTTCAAGAAAACAAGCATGTATGTCTTAACGCACAAAGCTACTATGTCACCGTCCGAACTCCGTCAATAGTTGGGAGCTTCAAACTTCCATGTATCGTTGGGGGCTTCTTACAGAGACGGCTGGATCCTCCGGCGTCCGTCATATTTTACCTTTGGTTGAGGGAATTTTGCGCAGTTACTATTAACTAGACCCCTCCGCCTTGCGGCGGTCCTTAAATGTTACGGACTCTGTGTGTACGGGCTTTAGATATGAATAAAACTACCAAACAATGAGACTTTGTAATCATTGCAACAAAAGGGTCTCAACTAAGTTTCAAGTATATTATATAACCGCCTAAAGTTGCTTCCAAACCTGTACAAATTTTCGTCTAGATTTGTGCTAGACGGCTGAGTGTTCTGTTATCCCTGAGCCAAGTTTTAAACCCTCGGTATCTGATCGATCTGTGTAGAAATTATTTATGAGCTTTTTTAACGCCTCACACGAAGCAAAGTGGCAACTGCAACGAAAAGTTTCCTTTCCCGTCTTAATACAAGGTCTTAGGATTGTCGTTGCTCGCGTTCTTTTGCACAGCCAAAGCGAAACATTTTCGCCCAGTTTGCATTCGTAACATTTGCGCCACGATTATTCATGCACACTTGTTCCAGCATGCCCAAAATTAGCCCGCATTCTTACCGTTGGTGCCGTCATTCCTCTACTGTACACAAAATGCACCGTGCCGTTGGCGCCTCTTCCTCTACCGCACAAAAAGTAGCGGAGCCACAGAGTAACGGAGCAGGAGTGCAGCCAGGGCCTTGGCGAGGGTGTGGGCACAGGGGCACAGGGCTGGCAAAAGCCCCCCTGATAGTGAAAGGCCCGCCCAAAATCTCCGCATATGGCCAATTTGTTATGAGGGTATGTTTTTTGATGTTTTCCATTTTTACCTTCTTTAACTGGAGCAGAGACCACAAGCTACCGCGAGATCAATTTTGGCTAAGTTTTATGGAAAATAAGCTAAATCCTGTGCTAAGAGACTGTGTGAAATGAATCACAGGCGCCCTTCATTTTACAATGGCCCAGTGAACTCCTTCTAAACCGATACAACTAGAGCTCAAAAGCTTTGCCAGAAGCTTGATCTGGGCTCTACAGAGATATGAGAACTACGCGGTTGAAGATTGTTGATATAAATGGGTCAACAATTTGCATTAAGATGGCCACGTCAGGTTTGCTGGCAATGTTGCGGCTGCGCTGCAGTTTCCATAGGCCACGCGATGTTGGATCCGCGGATAACACCAAGCCGTGACCAAAAGGTAAACGAAAATGATGACGCATCTGAAAAGTACCTTAAAACGCTTTTAGGCATCGAATAGTACATTTAGAAAGTAGTCTGGGCGTATGTTTCACCTGGGCAATTTTTTTAGTTTGATGATAAGAACGGATTGGCCTTTACAGCGCTGTGAAGTGGTGCTGGAATCTGGTGGTGGACATGGAGGAATTAAGCTCGAATCTCTACCTTTCGTGTTTTGTTTCTGTCAATCCGTCAACAGAACAGCCTCAAAGCCGTCAAAAATTGACAAGCTGTTTAATCCCTGAACGGAGCAAACAACTTTTACTTTCGGAAGCACCAACGATTTGTTTTACGAATACTGTCACCCCGGTTATTGCTGCCCTTGCTCCTGATATTGCGAGCGCACAGGCTCAAACCTTTTGATGTAATTTGTTTCACTGGTCGATTCTGCAAGGAAATAAACGTTCTTGGGCAGACATGGGGTGGCTTTTCTCAGTCTTGAGCACACCCCATCCCACTCTATTCGGCACTAATGACACCTCTTCCTTCTGCCGGGCGAGAGGCTTCCTTGGGTAGAACACTAAGAGGTAGGCAACACACTAGAACACTCAACACTAAGAACACTAAAAACACTAACACTAAATTATTCCCGGTTAAGGGTGGAGGGCCATTCCTTCCCACCGTAGCGTCTTCCGGCAGCCATTCTGGCGACACTAGGCTGAATCCCCCTGTTTAGCAAACGCTCCCCTGGCCGACTCGAGGCCTGCTGTTGACACAGAATATCCTGTCAGGGGCCCAAACCAATACAAATCGTGGCCCCGGCCTTGCTCCTGCTTTAGAAATGGGCCCCCAGTGTTGAGACTGACAGGAAGCCAGCTGTTCAGTGTGTCAAACTTTGCAAGAGGCCCTCTGACCGATAGTTCACGGCACGACTTTACGGGCCTCGATTCTTTCTGTGATCTACAGCTAGCCCTTCATGCTGAACGCTAGCTACCCCTTGTGCTAGCTAGCCCATATAGGCTAGCCTGCTAGCCCCTATGCCCTCCAACCGGACCTTTGATCGTCAGTTCCGATTTACCGCCCGGACCCCTCTTCGAGCCTTATCAAACACTGCCCTTGTTTGGCTCGGGGTCCCGTGCGAACACAGAATCCTCTGTTAGGCATTCTGGGCCATTGAAAAATACAGGGACCCGACCAGTGTAAATCACTGGCTCCGGCTGTAGCTGCTTGGGAAGTGGACTCCCAGGCCCATACCGACACGGGGCCGACTGTACGGTACTGGGAGTGCCTGAATAAAATAGAGGCCCTCATGGACTCAGAGAGTCCCGGATCGGCACGGCTGGCATATAAGCCCTTATCGATTCAGGGGTCCCCGATTGGGGCAAAGGGTCCTCTGACTTTTATGTCAGGGCCCGTCCCCGTAGACCGGGCCCCTGTATAAGACTCCGACCAGCCGTTCGTCCTTAGACCCTTCAATCGGGCCATTGATTGTCGGTCCCGTTGGGTCCTCTAGTCGGGCTCTTAAGCCTCCTCGAACACTGCCTCTGGCCGACTCGTGGCGCCTCACTTACAAAGGCCTCCTGTTAGATGCTGTGAGCCCCTGACGAACGCTGGGGCACTGACCGGTGTAGATCGCTTGCTCCGGTTTTGTCCTTGCTTGGGAAAGGGCCCCCGATCAGCATGCAAGGCCCTCTGGCTGACATCGGAGCGCCCGACCCCGTAGACATCCAACAAAGGAATGCGACTTCCGGCCGGCCTTTCGGGCCATTCGGGTCCTCAAATCGGGTCCTTAGTCATAAGTGCCAAGAGGCCCTTCACTCGGTTTCGTAACGGAATACTACACAGCGCCCATTGATCATGCCCTCATTATGGCAGTGCAAACACCATTAGGGACCAGATCGATATAAGACTGAGATCGATGCTGTTCGTACGGAACCAGTGTGTCAATCAATGAACCGGGCACACAAATAGGTGACAAACGGCGGGTGTGCAGACGAGGCATGGCTACCGCTTTCACCAACACGCATGCACACGCATGCGTGTTGGTGCATGCAACCGCACCACCACTTCTCACCAAACGTCCTGCGAAAGTCATGTTGGCCTTGTTGCAACATGTATCATGGCTGCAGGTTCATGGTCGGGTCCGTGTCCATGGCTTCGTGCGCGGCTTGTACCTGGGAGGGTTCGTCGAACGCCCGAGGCCGCGCCGGCCGACGGAGGCCGTCAACACCACCATGGCGACCCTTCGGTGGGGGTTACGGTCGCCTCGGGCGGGCCTCAGGTCGATAGCAATCGGCCCAGCGGCCGTCGCACACCCCGGCGCGCTCGGCCATCGGCTGCACGCTCCAGCTCAGCACCGCGGCCTCCCAGCCTCCCTGCTTCCCTGGCGGTGCCGACCGTGCCGTGTCGTCCACTGTGCCGACCTCCCCGGCTGGTGCCCTTTCCGTTCACTGTGCACGGAACCCTCCTAAGATTTGTTGGGGTACTCTTAGTCCGCGCCCGACCGGTGTTGCAACGTGACTCTGACGTGACCTCAACGTGTCGTGACGGTGACCTGGCCCGACCTCGTGAGAATCTGAGGCTGAAGTATTTGCCCGTAGCTGAGACCTATGCCGGTGAGTGCCCGCATGAACATCGTGGTATCAATAACGCAGATCACTTCTGAGGAAGCTTCCCCACAGTCTAGGCTCTTATCCCACGCTGTAGTTAGCCAATGCCATTTCATTTCGGAGGGTATGTCAGTTTCCGAAGCAACTCAATCTTCTGATATTCCTGTCAACTTTCTCCATTCCTTTTCCCTGATTTCATTATTTATGTCTTTTTACAACCCTCACCTGCATTTGTTGTATATTTTGACATGAGTAAGCGTGACGTTGCGTGTTGACCCGCGTTCAGGGTATTCCATAATGGCATCAACGGAGGCCTCCTCTGGCTTCACCGCCATCACCTCGACCTCAATCCCCAGTCGGTTCTGAACTTCTGACTCCCGTGTACTGATTGCAGCTTAACGGCAGCCCGGCCGGTCACGTGGTGGTGACACCGCATGGTCAGACGGTGCAAGGTGTGGGGTCGGGCCCGGCCGACGTGGCTGACACCTCGGGCCCGGTCACCACCGTCTCCAGCACACGCTACACGCCCTCGCCCTCCAAGGGCGGCATAGCCGGCTACACGGGTGAGTGGAGCCCTCCGACCCCCTCCAAGGGCGGCATAGCCGGCTACACGGGTGAGTGAAGCCCACCCGCCCCCTCCATGGCACGGATGAGCGGAGCCACAGGCCCCCTCCAAGGGCGGCATAGCCGGCTACACAGGTGAGTGGAGCCGCCGGCCCCCTCCATGGTACGGATGAGCGGAGCCACAGGCCCCCTTCAAGGGCGGCATAGCCGGATACACGGGTGAGCGAAGCCCGGCGGCCCACCCGGGCCCTTGTCTATCCCGTGTCCCTACCTATCTGAGGGGATGAACTTGACAGCTCGCGCGGCTCGACGAGTGGAATGGTCTCATCCACCGATCTGGGTTTGTACTCTTTTCGCTGTGGTGTTTTGGTGGTCTGTCGTGGATTTGGTCTCCACGGCTCTTGTGTCGTGATTTTTTGTCAGACTGGCTGCTGCACCTGTGTTTACATCATGTTTGCCCACACCAACGTAACGGTACTTCCGTCAATCAGCCAATCAGCCAATCAGCAACTACACGGCGGAAGACAATTCACGCACTTAGGGCGCCTTAACTGCCTCTGTTGTGCAGTTGAAACAATCGTTCTCACGCTTGTTTCGGTGCGCTAAATTAAAAACACGCACAATACGGAATCGTGCATTTTTGCAGTTAGATTCATGCTTCTAACCGCTCTCGTCGCCGAGATGTGACGCTGAAGGTGAATAACGGTAGGAAATGGCCAACTTCATCTTGTTGGCGCTCGTAGCACGCAGCTCGTGTGACATGGCGATTCATGTCACGTGATTGTCTGTTCGATTCCCTATCAGGATATACCCCTCCTGAATGGCTCCGTGCCCATGGTGCTGAGATGTGCCGCAGCACAAACCCGTCAAAAAATGTCAAATTCAATCTTTCTGGAGTGCGTGGGCGTGACGGTAAACTATGTGTGTGCACACATGGAAAGGCACGACTGGCCGTTTAGTTCCTTATCACTGCACTGCCAGTTCCCTGTGGCTACATATTCTGGGTGCGGAAATGTTGCGTAAGACGTAAAAACCGACAAAATCAGCAATGTGCACCTTTACAGCTAGTGTGCACGTGGAACGTGGCATGTGCGACAATCCATCTTACACTGCGTGATTATCCGTTTGAGTACATATCGAAGCACACCACTTCCGAGTCGCTTCGTGCTCCGGGTACCGAGATACCGCAAACACGTTCAAACCCGACGAAATTTGCAAAATAAATATTTCAGCACGTATGCACCATAACACATGGCCTGTGTGACGGTACACACCGCATCACCCATTGGCCCGTTCCACCCACTGTTGACCTACGACGCTCACGAATCACGTCATACCCTCCGTCCCGAGATGTGGTGCGAAACGTGAACATGGGCGTAAGCTTAACAATCCACCCTTCCAGCACGTGTGCACGTGACGCGTGGTACGTGGACGGCACCATTTGGCAGGGCACACTTTTACACTTGATGCCCTATCGAAGCGTGCTACTCTCGGGTCACTTCAAACCCTAGGTGCCGAGACATCGCAAAAACATGTAAACCCGTCGAAAATAGCTTAATTTATAGCTAAACACGTGGGCACCATGACACGTGACACGCGTGACCACGCATTATCATTCTGCCCGTTTCATTCGTAATCAAAGCGCGCGACTCCCTCTCGTGCCCGTGTCCTGGGTGTCGAGATGTGGCACAAAACGCGTAAACCCGTGGAAGAAAGCAAAATCCATCTTTGAGCACATGCTACGTGATACGAGTGACCGTACCATTTCGCATGTCACATTCTTTCGTGCCACTCCCACGTCGCCCCGGCCCGCCGTTCCCGAGATGTTGGTATGAAATGGTGTACTCGGTCGGAGGCTGTTAAACACGGCAGCAAGTCACATGTGTGTCACGTGTTAAGCTATCAGGAGACGGGACAGCACCGTTCTGTCGCGGCGTAAAATAGCCGTCATGAAACCCAATGCCCTAGGTTCATCAGCGAGCGGGCTATTGCAGAATATTATCAACAAAAGGGCGTCAAAGAGATTAAATGAATTGACAAACACGCTGATATGGTCTTTAACACTGAATTGTGAACAGTTTCGACAGTAGAGACTCGTATTCAGCGTCGCCATTTAAACTGTGCCGCTTGTAACTTGCCTCGCAATTTGCAGCGTAACCGTGCGTTGCAAAACTCGGAGTGCACACTGAAATTGTCACCGCAGCAATTGCCAGTGTTGGGAAATAAAATTCATGCCTGTACTCGCACTGGGTGCTGAGACGTGCCCCAAAACGTAAAACCTGTCAACAACGATCAACTCCATGTTTCCAGCACATGTGCAAGTGCCACGTGCGTCGTGGCACCACAAACCTACGACAGTTCGATGACCCATGCGATTGTCTATCTAGCTGTGCATCTTTTATGTCGGCCCTTCGTTATCAAGATATGGCTCCAAGAGTGCACGCGTGTCGTGCCGTCGGTCGATGGTCGCAACATTTGTGTCCCCCATATTAAATCTGTGGGAATTTTGCGACATTTTTGCGCTCACTTCGCGCTCATTTTTGCGAAATCGAGGATTATTTTTGGACGCAGACCCATCCTGCCAGTAGCCCTTGGTCGTGCGCAAATTTCATTTGAAAATTCCTGACCCTCTGGCCTGCGCCACGATCCCAAAGAATTGGTGGCGTACACACACACACACACATCATTATTTTTGTACAGTGGGAAGATTGGATAGAAAAACACCTGCCTTCGCATGAATAGAAGCGGCGTTATTCAAGATCGATCGCCTATGTGAGGAGTCTGCACAAAGCGGAGTTGGCGGGCTGCAACATGGTCGCCGCGTTTATAAGGATCAGCAGTCACCTCCGTAATGATCCAGCATGGACTGTCGTGAACCAAAGCTGAAGGGACGGGCTAAGTACCGTGATATTGGTACATTACATCCCAAGTGCATTCATTATGATCATCTTCTCATCTCCACATTTTCATCTCTTTTGAGGCTTTTTTACGCCCAGTTACGCCCAGCTTCTGTTCCTGCAAATGTTCGGTTGGCTGGGCAATCTGGGCTCAAGCATTTGAGAATTAGTAATTCGGATTGAATTCTCGTGGCCATGGCAGCGCGGTCGTGATAAGAAAACAAGCGTATTCAGCTTTAAACAACGGACTGAAAATATGCATAGGACGTAACGAGTTATATTGCTTGTGAGGAGCCCTCAATGGCGTACAGCGGCCCTCAATGGCGGCGATGTCAGAGACCATGCGTCAGCCCGGTGACCCTGGGGGGCTCGCCTGCGGTCGTGCTTCCACTCGGCCGCCCTCGACGCGGCCATTTGCAGTGCTGAGTCGCGACCGCCAATGCCAAAGGGTGACGCCAAACGACTGCTCCGTGCGCGGTGGGGCCAGGGTTCGGCCAAATGGGAATCGGGACGATCGCACGGCCGGATTCGCCGCGCGGACAGCTGGATGCGATCACGGTCAATGGTCTGGATGAGTTTCAACCGCGGGTTGGGAATGGCTACTTGCAAAACAACGAAAAAGGTTCGGCAATCCCTTCAGCAGTCGTGAAACGACAACTGGATACGGACCTTGGATACGAATACAAATGAAGTACCAATGACGCGCAAGCTTACAGATCCGGTTCAGACACGATCGATCACGCACACACACACACACACCACTGGAGACGGAGAAAGAGAGAAGAGAGAAGAGAGAGAGAGAGAGAGAGAGAGAGAGAGAGAGAGAGAGAGAGAGAGAGAGGAGACGAGAGAGAGAGCGGAGAGTGGGAGGAGAGAGGGAGAGAGGAGGAGAGAGAGAGAGAGAGAGGGAGGAGCGAGAGAGGGGAGGAGGAGGAGAGAGAGAGGAGGAGAGAGATGAGGGGAGAGAGAGGAAGAGGGAGAGAGAGAGAGGGGGTGAGAGAGAAGAGAGAGAGAGGGGGGAGAGAGGAGAAGAGGAGAGAGGAGAAGAGAGGGGAGAGGAAGGAGGAGGGAGAGAGGGAGAGAGAGGGAGAGAGAGAGGGGAGAGAGAGAGAGGGAGAGGAGAGAGAGAGGGAGAGAGAGAGAGGAGGAGAGAGAGAGAGGGAGAGAGAGAGGAGAGGGAGAGAGGAGAGAGGGAGAGAAGAGAGAGAGGGGGAGAGAGGAGAGAGGGGGAGAGAGAGAGAGGGAAGAGAGAGAGAGGAGAGGGAGAGAGGAGAGAGAGGGAGGGGGAGAGGGGAGAGAGAGGGGGAGAGAGAGGGGGGGGAGAGAGAGAGAGGGAGAGAGAGAGAGAGAGAATATATATATATATATATATATATATATATATATATATATATATATATATATATATATATATATATATATATATATACACACTCATATGTATATGAACATTCCAAGGTAATAGCAAGGAATAACGTGGTAACATGTTAACATACCTCCTGGTGTACTGAAGGTCAGTTATTCGTGACATAGAAACTTATAACACCAACAAACCATTATCTGAATGTCTTTCCAGTTTGTACGGAGTAATTTGTCGACATTGCTCCACAGCAAAACCGGCAAAGGCTCGTATAAGGCGTCATTTCTCCGGTCCCGTGCATGAAGTGGCAGCACAGCCCCTACCCAGCGGCCTGCTGGCTCCGACGCTGCTCCAGGCGCCCTCGCCGTCGCCGCTCGCTCAGTCCCACCCCGCAGTCCCACCCCACCGTCAAATATGCACAGGCACGGCTCGACTGTTTGGTGCGAAACACTAGCGGGCTCGACCGTCACACACATGAATCATGCGGAGAGCAAACCCTGTGTTCGAGGAGAGGGTGCTGAGCTGGCGAAGGCGAGATAACAGCGCTGAACTCTCTCCGGGGTGAGGGTGCTGAGCTGGCGAAGGCTAGGGAACAGCGCTGAACTTTCCCTCTGGGATGAGGGTGTTGAGCTGGCGAAGGCGAGAGAACAGCGCTGAACTCTCCGGGGTAAGGGTGTTGAGCTGGCGAACAGCGCTGAACTCTCCGGGGTAAGGGTGTTGAGCTGGCGAAGGCGAGGGAACAGCGATGAACTCTCCAGGGTGAGGATGTTGAGCTGGAGAGGGTGAGAGAACAGCGCTGAACTCTCCGGGGTAAGGGTGTTGAGCTGGCGAAAGCGAGGAAACAGCGATGAACTCTCCGGGGTGAGGGTGTTGAGCTGGCGAGGGTGAGAGAACAGCGCTGAACTCTCTCCGGGGTGAGGGTGCTGAGCTGGCGAGGATGCTGAGCTGGCGAGGTCTAGAGGGATCAGCGCGCGCTGATCTGCTGGTGTGCCGGCAGACCACTGCACCAGTCGGCAGGCGGACGCCTGTGAAGACGCCTTGCTGTGCCATGTGCCTGACATTTTAAAGCGTCTTTAGGTTGGTATTTGCGGAGCTCTGGCCCTTGTCACTCAGGTACAATCTTTAGGTTAGTATTGGCGGAGCTCGTGGCCCTTGTCACTCAGGTGCAATCTTAAGGTTGGTATTTGCGAAGCCCTGGCCCTTGTCACTCAGGTGCAATCTCAAGACTGGTATTTGCGGAGCTCTGGCCCTTGTCACTCAGGTGCAATATTCAAGTTTGTATTTGCAGAGCTCTGGCCCTTGTCACTTGTGTGCAATCTTAAGGTTGGTATTTGTTGAGCTCGCGGCCCCTCTCACTCAGGTGCAACCTTTAGGTTAGTATTGGTGGAGCTCGTGGCCCTTGTCACTTAGGGGCAATCTTTAGATTCGTATTTGTGGAGCCCACTGTCCATTTCATTCAGGTACAATAGTTACGTTGGCATTTGCGGAACTCGCGGCCCTTGGCAACCAGGTGGCATTTGCGGAGCTCGCGGCTTTTGTCACTCAGATGCAATCTTTAGGTTGGTATGTGTTGAGCTCGCGGTCCTTGTCACTCAGGAGTAATCTTTGGGTTGGTATTTGTGAAGCTCACAGCCCATTTCATTCAGGTGCAACCTGAGAGCGTGTGGCTCACTCTTCCTTTAGCTGCATTGGTTGCCTTGGCGCCTGTGCAAGTATTGATTCACGACATACCGCCAGGGGTCATGTTATTACCTCGCATGACGTCAGTCTTGAAGAAGCCTTCGCTGGCACTGCGTGCTTGGCGGTTGTATGGTGGTCTTCACCCGGGTCTTGTGCTAGACGGCATTGCATAGCACGAAGCTCACTGTGTAAAATGTTTTACAAGTGCACAACTTTCTGTTGGGCCGGTGCATTCGAGTTTCAAGAGGCTTCTGAGAGCAAAGGCGTGTCGATTCGAATAAGGGGATTTAATGATGAAACAGGAGTGAATCCACATGAACCGTGGAAATGTCTTTAGTGCTTTCAAAACCATTTTGCACATTACCACTTCACCTAAACTGCTTTTGACTACTTCTTGAACCTAACAACATTTAGCCGTCCGTGTAAATGTTGTTAAAACACCACCAAGCCTGTCGGCGTCCATGGTTGCTGGCACATCTCAGCTATCTCCGAAGAAGTAAAAAACTGGACTGCCTTTGAACCAGAACCGTGATTTTCACCCTCATCTTGAAATATGCTTCCCGGGCAATAATCTCACGTGTTACTTTCGGTCACTAATGGGGGGTTTATTGAGGGTAGATTTTCTCACATGAAGATAACAGCTTGGGTTTTAGCTTTAGTAACATTGCAGAGCTTGGTATATGAACATGCATCCCAGGAACCGAACTAACAAATGTGAGAGGCCCTGACAAGGTTTGGTGCCAATGTTATATTCGCATATCGAGAATGACCGCAACCTCTAACATCCACGTTGTACCATCACCAGAGGTCACTGCAACGGTGCGTAGTTAGGGCAATGCCACTGTAATCTCTCCAGCCATTCGCCCTCACGAGGTCCTACGAACGCTCCAGCATGATCCACTTAATTACACCGTTTGGTTGTTAGCGTAACTGCATTCCAATTATATCAACGAGGTCTATGTCAGTCAGATTCTTCGAATCATTGGGACATGTCACGGTCGTGCCTCGCTGAAATGGACATGTCACGGTCGTGCCTCGCTGAAATGGACATGTCACGGTCGTGCCTCGCTGAAATGGACATGTCACGGTCGTGCCTCGCTGAAATGGACATGTCACGGTCGTGCCCTCGCTGAAATGGACATGTCACGGTCGTGCCTCGCTGAAATGGACATGTCACGGTCGTGCCTCGCTGAAATGGACATGTCACGGTCGTGCCTCGCTGAAATGGTGCTCGGCAAGGTTTGGAAGCCACTGAACAGCCAGAGCACCCAAAGGACATTGAAATCGGGGAACAGGGGTTGGGGGAAGGGCAGCCCCAGCCCCAACTTTCTGATAATCGAACAATGATACCGTGGGCCTTGACTGGAAGTAAGTAAGTAAAATGTTCATCCAACAATGTCTATTCACCATCTATAGCCTCATATTCATCCTATAGCCCCCCCCCCCCTCCCCCCCCTTTTCGGCGACTCTGACATAAGTTGTGGATTGCAAAAGCCGAGACTAATCTTGGTTCTAAGATAGGCACCTGACGCATTGTTGTTTGCTAGAGCCTGGCGAGAGCCGGGCCGATGGGCGAATGGCCTTCGTGCGAAATTGCTTGGCTTTTAGAGCCGGGCCTGCCACTGGGCCAGCTCCGCGCTCGTCTCTTGCTTCATCCGTGAGAAAACTGCTACGTCTGCCGCCCTCATCACCTGCCTTATTACACCTAGACGATGCATCCACCATGGCGCTGGCACGAATGGGATGGGGTGCTGGCACGAATGATCTTACGACTCGGGCCTCGAGGAGCGGGTGGGATTTGCCATCATGCGCTTCAGACAGGAAAGACGGTTGCAAGATGACGAGTCCCTTTCAATTCACTGACATCAGCCGGTTCTGGTTAGTTCTTAAGCTGCACGGAACGGTTGTGACAGTGTCAGCACAAATGAAATAATTATTCGCACTATCGCCCTTTCTATGCAGTAGTATCGGGTTATAGACAGCGTTTCGATGAATTACTTCTCGTGCTGCCGTGGGGCTGACTAAAATGGTCCTTAGATTGTCCTGAAAGGGACACTAGGGCGTCTAATGAATAGACGCGGGTGTTGGCTAGGACGTTTCTGGCAGTTTCGCGCCGCGAAAATTTTACAATTCAAAGAATGACGCCCAAACCAATACATTACAGAGGACGGCACGATATTGTGCTGGTTAGGGCGTCAGCCCCCAGTCGCAAGATTGTAGGAGTAGAGCTGGAAGTTGCTAGATTATTTTGAAACTGTATACATGCCTGTATGTACGTCAAACACCCACGAGTCCTTCTCAGGACCAACTGGCACCTGACGACGGCTCGACCAGCAACCGGGCAAAACGGTGCATAAATATGAAGGCCATTGACGTTGACGAACGTTCGAATAATCATTCCACCACGACCACGCGTTGTGCTATCAGGAAACAAGAATCGTGAATTGTGTGTGTAGGCCAGTGTGCGAGCCATCGCGCCACATACAGAGACCCCTCGCCGACCCTGTACCGCTGGCCGCAGGCTTCATCCCGGGCAGCCAGTACGTGGTGGGCACCAACTACCGGCGCGTAGCAGACACATGTCTCACGGACCTGGAGCGGCGCTCGCAGGACCGCCGCGACCGGCTGGACCGCGAGAGGACCGCGCGCGTGCAGGATGTCGGCGCCGGTGCCGACCTCCTGGACAACGCGTCTGCCCCCACTCCCGTCCCGGCCGTGGGCCAGGGGGACGCCAAGTACAGCCGGTACACGTCACAGCAGTACGGTACGTGGCAGAGCGGTTCGTCGGCAGGTTTGCGCATGCAGGCGGGAAAAGCCTGATGCCGATTGGTGAGTTACAGGCCCCTGGCCGTTTTGTAGAATCGGAGACTTTGTGGTCTTTCTGCCTTATTTCACTGTTTTAAGAGTCATCAAATAAATGTAGTCTTGCATGCACGATTAATACAAAACTGTGTATGATTATTACACTTGTTTTGCAAGTGTATTTGCAACGTACCAGCATGAAATGGAACATGACTGCAGACTTCTGGTTTGTGACCGAATCTCTGGTTTAAAGTATATGCGATGCCACAAGTGCGTGCTCAAGGCTGCGTTGTGCACGCACCACATGATGCACACCACGCACCGTCACTGCTGCCGATAGTATGTCATGGGCCCGACACCTTGATTGCTGTCCTAGCGGATCTAACGCCAGAGGCTAGTAAACACCTATGCCGTTATTAAGGCCGCGACTGGCTCCGGCTCCCCCTGTTTGGTTATTTATACGGTTGCCGATATCCGAGGATTAGTTGGCTTGGGCGGTTTCCTGCCGCCAAATGCAGGCCCGTTTCGTGGAGAAGGTTGATTAAGGGATTGGAAAGGAAAAGCCGGAGGCTCTTGAGTTCGGTCGCCCTTCGGCAGAACGTTCGCGGTAAGGCTACCTCATTCTGCAAAACGTTTCGCATGACATGGGACGCAAAAGCAATTAAAGAATTTCATCGAAGGACTTGTCACGTGAGGATTAGTAGAAAGTGCGCTTGTGTTATATGGGTACCAGACAGTCTTGTATTCCTTCACTTTCGGCTGCCCGTACTTTGCTCGAGGTCCCACCACAACTTTGCATTCATCGGGTGTGAGAATTGACAGAAGTGGTAATGAAACAAGCCATCACATCACGCTTAGTGGAACAACACGCTTTGCTCTCGAGAATTTATTCTGTTCCATGGCAAATGAGAATGCTGACTTGCGCCATGCCTTCATGGCAGTGATACGGCACGAAAGGCCCAGCGCCTCCTGGCCTGTAGCAGCGCACCTCGATCGATCCCATGCCAACGCTAGCTCGTTAAGTCAAGCCTTCTAGTGACTTGACTACCTGAGACAGGGACAGTACGATTTATGGTCCAGCGTTCCAGCACTGCAGCCAAACGCGACCCGTCTTTATTGTCTGGGAGTGCACCAGTATGTTCCTCGCTACTGCGTGACTCCGCGTGGGCGCTACGCCCAATAGTTCAATGTCGCTGTCGCGGGTACATATAGAGATGTACAATCCCCAGTTCATTACATTTGTTGTTATCACCGCCATTCGGTAAAGCCCCGCAACTCTAGTCAGAAATTGAAGGCATTTGGAACGGAACTAGATCCCACCACGCTTTAGGTTGGGTTTTTCCGACTATGCATGCAGCTGCCAAGTCCATATTCACCCACCCGAGCAGCATCGCCGGTAGCTCCCTGACCTTCAGCCTGACGCCACCGTCACGTGCGACACGCTCCTGACCTGTGAGAGGCGGCTCAAGGCCGTCCGGCTCAGACCCGTGTGAAGTCAACCAGCTCCCGGCAGTCTGGCCAACAAGTCCTGATCCGTAATTAATGAGGTACGCCTCGTCCACCGTCCCAAGTGCCCCGAGCGCTACCATGAAACGGCTGAAATGGCCATGTCTTAAACAGGAGGATCCGCCGGTCAACTGGCTTTGAAAGGGCCGGCATGCGTCAGCCCGCGCCAACCAGCGGGGAAGCCGCTCACGACTGCCGTGTTGGCACAATCGATATCCTTAGCAGCGTGACATAGGGCCGGGGCCTGGAGCCAATTGCAGGGCACTGGTGCAACGGAAAGTCAACACATTAGAGAAATCGTCCGAGTCCGATCAGGTTACTTTTATTTTTAGCCGCTCTCTGTCTTGCTCGCCACGCTTTTACCCCATTGTGTGCAGTTGGTAACCAAGTCTATGCAAAACATTCTGCTAACACCGCTACCAATCTCTGCTCATTTGAGTGCTTTTAGTTTTTGAAGGACGGTTTTTTCTGGATTTAATTCCTACCTTCCGATGCTGTAGTACTGGCCGTATAAGTTTATCACGTCACACTGCGTAACGCGGAGCTTTATGAAATTCGCACAGCCACAGCCAACAGTTCGCCCGCCTGTCAGTCAGCTTTGTTTTCCTGGCAGGATGCGGGGCTCCAGTTTCTTCCTAGGGTTTTGATGCTTTGCGGCGGTCCCGTTACTGTGATTGACTAACACGGTTGACTTTTGGCTGTGTATAAAAGTTGTAAGAAGCCCGTGGAGGTACACCTGCGATGTCACTAACGTAAAGATGAAAACTGGGCAAGAGCGAATAGGGGCAGCATATTTTCTGGACGTGATCAACCCCTTCAAAAGTGTTGATAAATAGTGAATATGATTGGTGTTAACATTTACTTCCAGTTAGATTTTACAGCAACCAGTTTCACTGTATACTTGGATCAGGTTGCCGCAACGCCTCGCTTGCGGCAACTGGCAAACGGTGGGCAGCATGACCCTGAGCCCCCTTGGCAATATTTACCACTGGTACTGTACCACACATGACGCTATGCAGAAAGACAAAAAGCGGACAGTTGGGCAATTTTCAGGTAACAATATCTGCTGGTGCGGCTATTCATATATGGGTACGACAGAAATAAGCAGTGCAATTTTCCAGTGTCTCTCGTACATGTGTAAAGTTAGATTTCCAAACTTTTTGTGCGCTTAAAAAGTTTTTTTGCGAGCTAATTTACCCCAGTTAAGCGACTGATCAATATTCACACGCTTGCAACTTGTTTATTTTTTTGTCACGCCCACAACCAATGTTCTCCCTGAAAGCAATATGTCATTATGCACAAGGGCCTGTACTTTCCGCATCACTCACGCAGTTCCCTCTCCGCCAGTTCAAGAGGATGTGATTCCCATTCCGGGCTACGGCGGCTTCATTCCTAAGGCCCGTAGCTCCAGCATGGGCGTGGGCAAACGATTCTCCCGGTTCGCCGACGAGGGCTTTCACGCGCTGCACGACCAAGTGAACAAGTACCGGCAGTCGGTGCCGGCCTAGCCCGGCCGCTACTGCACGAGCGCCAGCCGGCCGGCCGCTAGGCGTCCGACCCCACGGCCCGGGCCGGCGCTTCCGGTCCGGACCGTGACGTCACGGCCTGCACCGAAGCGGCCGGCGACAGCAGGCGGTCCTGACCGGGCCGGTGGAGCGTCGGCCCGAGCGCTGTGACGTCACGGACCGGACTGAAGGTGGACTGGAGCCGGCGCCCCGGACGCTCTAGGAGCTGCCAGGTGCCGAGTGCTGCCGCCAGGCTAGCCAGCCCCGGGCGGCGCGGCCGCGGTGCGCTCCCGGAGACCGCTCTGCTCCGTCCGTACCCCATCGGACGGCTGCCGACAGCGAGCGAAGCGCAGGGCGCGTGGTCGGCTCGACAGGCCTGTCTTTCGCTCGGGAAAGACAGGACTCTGACGGCCAGATGGCGCGTCAGTCACGTCCACGTGGTGCTAAGCCAGCCGAACAGCTTTGTATATTGCTAGTGTAGTGTTGCTAGGTCAGTGTTGAGTTGGCAACAGAACGACAGCTTAAGTGCCTTGCAGGCAATGCTTCACTACGCTGGTAGACGCAGCAGGTTTGCATTTAGCCGCTACACGAGAACGATGAATTATATGCTATTGGTTTTTGTGCCATGAACGAGGAATATCTTGTATAAAATTTGACTATTCGTATAAAGATCGGATGTAATATACCTATTTTTCTTCCACTTTGTATGCTGTAGTTGGTCCATTCTTGATATCGCGTGATTTTCATATACAGGAATGGAGCGTAGTCTCATCACCAAGTAACAGTTACCATCCAAATAAATCAAACAGAGCTGCCACCTGAACAACAGGGCCGTGTTTCCCACTGGCAAAATACCGACGCGAGTTGCTACCTACGATGTCGCAAGTACTTCCGTCATACACAACCAACTGTCCCCCAAGCCTAGAGACTGTTGTGACGCACTTACCTCTGACGTCATAGGCTACAACTTGTGGACGGCGTTAGGTATTGGGGATTGCTGCCCAGATCGGAGACAAATATTGGCAGTGCTGTTGGGTCGCGTGCGACACGCAACAGTGCGGCAAGAGGTGGCGCCACCGTCGCGGGCTGGGAGCGGCGCACCACCACGGCTGGTGCCGGAGCGGCAATCGATTGACGTGTCCTACTCTCTCGCACACCTGCCACTCAAACGGCTGCCGGGGGGGGGGGAGGGGGGGTCTGCCAGCTGAGCCAGGCCAGGTCGGACCTGCTGGTCACACCCTCGGTCGAGTCGAACCCTCAGACATCTTGGCCATCTGAGCACCAACGCACGTCGGAAATCACAAATGATGGTCGCATAGAGCACAACGGAAACGCAGTGCTCTATTGGTTTCGGAGAATAACAACATCCAACAGAAAGACTTTATCTCATGAAGCTAAATATTGTGACGGGTGTTACCGCGATCGGTCGCTGTTCCTCAACAAAAAGCCTTATTTGTGCCGGCAACAGTGAACAGGCACGGGCGCTTTTCCAGAAGACGTGCCATATTCATAGCGGACTGATGCAGAGATTATGCCAGTGGTGGAGACCTGCGCTTGCCTTATCACAATAAAGGGATCTGTGTTCCATTCCATGATGTTGTCAGAGGTTACCCTTCAACGAAATCTTGCGAATAGATCTTGCTAAGGAGGGAGTGGCGCACAGCGTGATGAAAGACCTCGCTGAAAAGGATTCCCGAGCCGAAAATATAGATGTTTGGCCCAGCTTATTTTGAGCGACTCAATTTTCTTCTGTTGGCCGGGGACCGACTCAAAGGCCCCCACTAACACAAAAGGTTTCTATGCTGGCAAAGGCGGTCGAATATCTGTCACATGGACCGTAAGTCGACTTATCGGTCCCCTGGCTTAAACTCGGGCGGAGAGTCCCTGAGTTCACTACTGGGCGATACAGGACTTGGTTTTCCCTGGCCGACCCAGGACCCTTCCATTACCTCATGGCAGAAAACTCAAGTTTCATTTATCATATCTCTTTTCATTGTCAGAGGGCCCCGACCAACGGAAGAATCCATCTGACATTCGTGGTCCCGCCCCTGTCCCTGTTCATCGAATGAGCCTGACTCGGAGTCGATTGTCGAAAAAGGATCCCCTGTTAAGTACCGTGGCCTCCTGGACCACATAGCTGGTAAGAACTCCCTGGCCTCACTTCTAAGAGGTCCGACCAATGGAAGAGGCCTTCTGACTGACATTCGCGGGCCCCGGCCTTGACCCTGTGTAGTAAATGGCCCCCAAGACCGACACGAGACGCGCCGCTCGCTATTCCCGTCTCTGACTCCGATGAAATTCCCCTGAGAGATGGCAGTTAGATAAAACAGCCGCACCTGGCGTCGTGAATCGAGTCCAAGTAACGCCATGCATGCCGAGAGCTAACGGGACTCCTGTGCCATCTAGCGAGCAAACGACGAAGCGCTTGTTAGGCATAATTCCACGCGTTTCGGCTTAAACTTGGCACTGGCCTTTGCATTTGGCTCGGCATTGGCTTTGGCAATGGCTTATGTGCAGCTTATGACGAGCCAGTGCTAAAGCAGCGGAACATGCCAATGCTGCTAGTCTGTGGCAGAGGAACAAATGGACAGTATTTAACGGTCAAATACCCTGAGTGAGAACGTTTTCTGGGATATCCGAGTTGCCCGGGGTTTTACAATCCTCACGGAACTGAAGAAGATGACATTAGTTATGGAATAAACCTCGATGCGTAGGAGGAACGCAAAGGCCCTGGCTGGCCCATGGGCTTTTGCAAACCCATGCTTACCGAATGAGAGCCAAGGAAACACAAGAAACCGCTGTAATCGCAGAGAATCCACCCACACCGAAGACATAAAGACATAAAGACATCAGGGCAACAGAGAGCCACAACAGCTCATTGAGTTTGACGTACCTCTGGTTCCACACACATCCCCGACACTTATCTTACGACCTGACCAGCCTGAATTTAGCCATAAATAAGATGCTTAGACCAACCGAACTTTTTAAATACTCCTGGAGAGGGACTTCCTACAACTTCGTTGAAAAGTCCATTCCAATAATTCACTTCACTTTGACTAAATGACATCTGCCTCTTCAACCATCATTTTTCTAAACGTGCTATTCTTAACGTTGGCTCTAATCCCGTCTTTTGCTAATGAAGACTGGTTTCCTCTGAGCCTTGGCCCAATTTCCAGTGCTCCTTTTAGATCTACCTAGTCTATTCCTTTCATAATCTTGAATGCCCCCATCAGATCCTCTCTGAGTCCACGATATTGCAATGAATAAAAATCCAAGGCCTGAAGCCTTCCTTTATAATTTAAGGGCACGAAAAGAATGAACAATGAAAAAGGAAAAGGATGATGACAAAACGAGACTATGCCTCTCAGCCCCCACATCCATTTTAGACACATTACAGGCGTTTGCGAGTCATCATCACCCATTTCTTCTAACATGGGGACGTACCTGTTCCCTCCAAGGGCCTATCCAGCCGCTTTGGTTGGGGTGGGTGAGAAACCAAATTGGCCTCCGAAGATCGAATTTTCACCGCGGCGGTTCATCCATCCAGAGCCTGCATCGACTGGTCAGCCAGCAGAGGGAAACTGACGGCAGACAACAACCAGGCGGCCATGCCAGCTGCAAACGAGAAAAAGTCCCTCGGATCGCATCTTGACGGGTCCAATCAGCAGGCGTGCGCCAGGTGATTTATACGTGGCAGCTGACAAGATTGCGATAGCCTCTTCTCAAGCAAGAAATGGAAAGACCGGGTAGGTGAGATATGGCAAGACCAAACAAGGCACGTTCATAGTTTGACATGCCCTGAACGACAGCCGGCGACAGCGGCAGTGTCGTTAAGTGCAGACGGTGACACCGTACGGAAGAGGATGGAGCGGGTGGCGGGGCGGGCATCCATCAATCGGTGCAGTATCCGGTGCCTGTCCAATCACGTCAACAAAACGCCCGGCTGCGACGTATTGGCACGATGTTGGCAGGAACAAGTACGTCAACAATGACGTTTCGGAAATTTTCACTTCGCGACGGGATTAAGTACAGCTACGTTATGGATCCGGCGATTTTCTTGAAAAAACTGTTGAAAATGGTGAAACATCACCCATCGTGGTTCGTGGTTTGTTAGACGCTTGCTAGATGCTTGCTTAACACGCGCCTGGGTGACCGGCTAGATACCCTTTGCTCTGGTGGGGGTCAATGTGACCCTCTGAGATCTCAGGAACTGAGAAAGCTATAGACACAAAATTTACAGGGTGTCTTGACCTGTACGTAAGTCACCTAGGTCAAAGTTTGAGCTTCCTAGGCTATGACCTTTAGGTCAAATAAGGTCAAACAAGGTCAAATTACAGGTTGGTTTCTTAAGTGCCGCCAGAACCTAGGCAACTGTTTCTAAGCAAAAGGTCACAAGCCCGTTTGAGGTCAGTGACCTTGTTTGACCTTTTGAATGTCTTGGTGATTAAAATCATACAAGACTGCTCTGAGTTTTGCATTTGAATAAGCGACAAAGATCACGCCAGGCAGTATGTTCCTAAAACGAAATGTCGATCCGGTCATCTTAGGTCAATGACCTGTTCTGACCTCTAGGAAGTCGATGGAAGATGCATAATGTGGTTTCTGCCGTCAATAAACTTGAAATGAACACCACAAACTATCCCATATGGCAAGCCCTAGAGTAATAAATCAGGTTGGTTGTGACCTTGGTCTGACCTTCATACCTGACCTCAGGTAAACGTAATTTGCTTATTCAATATTTTTGGTGACAAAGAAAGTATCTCAGAGATGTATGGCTTCGTCAAACGTTCCGTTATTGTATCAGATTGGACGTTTCCCTAGAAATTGCCTTCGCTGAAACCATGGCCTGATTTTGACCTGCCATAGGTCAGTGACCTTACAAGGTACACCCAAATTGTTTTATGTCAAACGATCCGCTATTCAATTGTTGGCGCGGATACGTCGCGCCGTTTGGAAACCATCCTGGAAAAACCTTCGGGGGTCAATTTGAACCCCCACCCCCACCCGAGCGCGTGTTAAGCCATGTTGTACTCCTATCATAAAAGATCACCTTATGTGGAGAGGTCGAGAGGACGAAATAATCTCAGGATGCAAGTTCTTAGCATCACATAGCAGTTACCATACAAGGCACAAGGAGATGAGAGTCAGAAATATATCATAAATTAAACGGATACCATATAATCTCAGTAAAGCATAGCGTTTCTGATATTCAGCTGTGCTATTTTGTGCAATGACACAAATTTTATGTGCTATAACATGTTTTATTGTGCTATAAGTCCATGTACGAAACTGTACAATCCCTGCCATTTATGACATGGAGTGGACAGCGTATTTCGTGAAATGGTTATTTGCGAAGAACACCTTTTCCAGGAGAATGCTCTACAGGAAACTGACAATCACTTCCGGACTGATGGGAAGCTTCCCTCTGTACGTTTGCATGAGGACAAGAGCCTCTAGTCTATCTACGGACATCATTGGCCGGATAGCAGAACGAGACAGGTATACTTCCGAGAACACTCGCTCCACCTCTGCTGCTGACACGGGCAGGACTACCACCATCTTCAGCAGAGCAGACACGGCCAGGAAGACGTCCATGGAGCAGCGCGGCAGAGATGCGATCGCTGACTCTGGTCTTCCTTCAGGCGGCGTGCGCGTCCACGTCAGCATCTTCAGCAGAGCGGACACGGCCAGGAAGACGTCCATGGAGCAACGCGGCAGAGATGCGATCGCTGACTCTGGTCTTCCTTCAGGCGGCGTGCGCGCCCACGTCAGCATCTTCAGCAGAGAA